AGATAGTAAAGTTGAATTTCACTTCAATGCCCTCTTAGATGCTATTGCTGAACACAGGGAAGATGCAGCAGAGGATCAATCTTTAGAAGGTAATGATAAACACTGACACTGTGGTGAGCGATGCATCTGACAGTATTTTTCGGTAATGCAATTTGAGGTCATCTGTTGTTGAGTACAGAACAGACACACGGCAACGTGGATTCTATTTGTTTATGCAATGCAGCAACTGCGCTGCTTACTGCTAGTCTATATCTGGTGATAAGGTTGAATAGTCAAGTATCATCTTACATGTACATGTTTGAAGCATTATGCTCAGCTGTGGATGGTTGGTTTTCAACAGCTGTGATTGAGCATATTGATGATGAGCTCCTTCAGCGTAAGTCAGAGTGTTACAATATTATAACAAGTCACACCAAGGATTTAATTGTTTAAACTTCCTGATCACCACGTTCTGTTTTCTTTCATAGACACGGTACAGGAGATGCACAGGTTGTTCTTGGAAGAGACCCAAGTATCGTTTAGTGAAGTAAGAGCTCAAACCTTAATCCTCCTCTCAAGCTGTGAGACATTTCCTTTTCAATGTGTGAGGATGATGGAGTGAAGATGACCCCCCCCCCTCCCCCCACCTGTTTCTGCTCTCCTTTTGTTTTGTCAATAAGAAGTTTCACTTGGAAAGGAAGTTGGTGTACAGTTGCAGATGTTAATAACTTCAAGTTCAAATGGTTTAGAAAACAGGTCTTGGAGTGCTCTGTTAATCACCTTTGGATCTTCATTTTCCAGCTTGAAGACAAGCTGCTGCAATTTCACTTGGGAAATCTTGAGTTCAGCTGTGCTGCTCCACTCAGTAAAGTTTCATCCATGTCCTGGGATCAAAATGAAGAGCTTCCTCAGTTTTGTGGTGATCACACTCTTCTTCAACATGGCTTTGGTGTTCTCTTGAACAAACTTGCTGAGAATTTGGACACCAAGCTCCAGTATGAAGTACGTAGATGAGATAATATTCAGGGCCAGGCTGTTCAAAGCTGGGTTAAGATAACCCAGGGTTAGTGTGAAATTTAATTTCAGATCTGAAAGTTTTAAAAGAAAGTTCAGTTTAACTATTTTTGTCTACAATTTGATGATCGAATGCTCTCAAAAGAATAGGGAAAGCTATCCCAAAAAAGTTCTTGAATAGAGAAACCTATCCCAAAAAGGTTCTTGAATAGAGAAATAAGGAAACATGGATTAAAATTTAACCTTGGGTTAGTGCTAATCGTCCTTTGAACAACTGGACCCAGGGCTTTGCTCTAGCAGAGCCTGGGTGCTGACAGTGATGTATTAATTTTTTGGGAAACTTGTGTATATCTTTACTCATAGTAGTTAAAGCTTTGAGAAGCAGGACAGGTTTCTGGGATAACTAGAGACATCAGGCACTCTGTGATTTTTGTACAAGTGAAGCTTTGACCTTGTTAATTTATGTAGTTATAAATAAAGTAAAAGTAAAGTCTGTCTATGAGCCAAGTGGCACATCTTAAGCTGGTGCTTAACTCTAGTTTCTGTAGTATGTTGCCACTAAGAATAATTCTACTGACTCCCTCTGAATGGGGGTTACCGTTACCCATTGAAACACTTGGATTTATAGAGGCACTGCGATAGTAAAAGTGTTTTACCAAAGAACACAACACAGTGTCCCTGGCCAGCGTTTGAACCAGGACCACGTTCAGTGCACTAACCATGAGGCCACCATGCCTCCACTTTGAGCAGATTTGGGCTGGTGAAATTTTGTGCTGAACACTTTTCTCTTGCTGTGGGTTGGGAGAGGGATATCTCCACTCAGGCCTTGTAGTGACTCACTCTGATGTAATGATCTATGTTACAGTATTATAATACTAAATAAAGTATGTTATGAAACTTTTATTTCTCCAATCAGGTAAAGGAAATTAATTACGAAAACAAAAATGTAATGGTTACAAGTTCTGATGGGAGGCAAATGACAGCAGACAAGGTATTTTCACGTTGAAACAACTGTAGACTGGGCGGCGATACATACTGCTCTACCACCAATAAGTTTTATTTGGGTTTTGAATGATTATTATAAATTATTATTATTATTATTATTATTATTATTATTATTATAATGATCCTGCCAGGAATTGTAGTATTTTAAGGTCATTTATTTGAGGCTTAGAACTTGATGGAAGTAAAGAGAGACTAATCTCTATGATTTCCTATTCACTTGATATTGATGAATTATTTATGAGTATGGTTAAGAAAATTGAAAGTTAAAAATTTTCATTAGTTCTTTACTTTTCATTTCAGGTGATTGTTACTGTTCCACTGTTCTTGTTGAAGTCAGAAAAACTGAAATTCATTCCTGCACTCCCACTGAGGAAGCAAGCTGCCATATCAAATCTTGGAGCTGGTCTTATAGAAAAGGTTTGATTCATTTTACCAGCCTGTGCCCCGCCCAGTTGTGTAAAAGGCAGATAATGCTATCTAACAGATAAGTTGCGTTCCAATGGATAAGTGATGGCAGCGGATAAAGATTTTTTCACTGGATTGCATTATCCAACCTGTTTAATTTCGCTAAGAATATATGAAAGTCATATATTTGAACTGCGGTTACAGAAACGCACATGAGAACGATCTTCGCAGTGAGGAGCGCTATTTAAGCAATTGTGAAATTAAGACCTGAAAAAATTTCAGGCGTGTACGGGATTCTAACCCATGACCTCTGCGATGCCAGTGCAGTGCTCTACCACCTGAGCTAACAAGCCAACAGGGAGCTGGTCATTATGGTGATTCTTAATAAACCTGTGAGATGTTTTATTTTATTTGACAGTTAATCTAGTCTTTGTAATCAGTTTTGCTTTTTTTCTTTCCCATATATACAGGTCTCAAAATACTTTTATTTTATCTCAGTGTGTCTGTCTTGTGCCTTTTATTGGTTTTAGAAACATTTGACTAATTTTCCTTTCTTTTTCTCGCAACAACCACATCTCTCATCTGCTGTTTAATTTAAATAACACACATCTTGATTAAATATGATTTTAAAAATCTCAATTTTTGGTGTTGCAGGTCATTTTAAAATTCAAATACAAATTCTGGGAGAAAGTTGTCCAAGAAGCAGATTTTTTTGGGCATGTTCCCCAATCACATGAAGGGCGTGGTCACTGTGGCCTCTTTTATAACCTAAGTAAAAAGGTGGTTATTTTTGTTTTCAAACTTCATGTTGATATTAATATCCATGTTGGAATTGCAATAAAGTGTTCAATTCCAAGATCAGATAGGTAAGAAAGAACCCTCTTTTGGCCGCTTTGCATTTCCTGGGGTTTCAATAATAATTATTCGGGATTGGGTGAAAAGATGAAAACCAAAGTGATTACATTAGGCAATCAGAGCAAAGGGTTGGTACAAGTCTTTTAGACCAATAACAAAGCAAAGTGAAGGAAAACCAATGCAATCTAGGATGACTTGATTCTCATTTGAAAATTGCTCTATTAAAGAAAAGAAAAAAAGTTTTTCAATAATTCTTCACTTAGCCAAGATGATTATTACAGAGTATCTGGGTAAATTGTTGTTATTTCTTTGTAATGCCTTTCTTTTGTTCCAAAGGGAAATGAAAAAAGCAAAAAGACAAGCTATGTTCTAATGACTGTGTTATGTGGAGAGACAGCCTTACAAGCACAAACAATGACCGACAAGGAGGTTGTGGATTCATGCATGAACACACTTCGCAAGCTTTTTGCATACAAGGTAATGCAACTGGTGCACTGTAACAGTTTTGTGTTTTAACTTTATTCCTTTTTACTCTTCTGTGTTTGTTGTCTGGTACAAGAAGTGCTGATGATGATGTTGATGGAACTATGCAAATATAAAATCTGTTTTCTTGTTGTTATTAAAGTGTTCCACAAATGCTATGAATTCACAGAGGGGGGGTCATGTATCCTCAGGGCTTTTAAATTAGACTTGGGGGGGGCTCATTAGATTGGGGAGGTTTTCTTAGAGGGGGGGTTTGTTAAAGAGGGGAGGTGTATTAGAAATGGGAGAGGTTATTAGAGAGGGGGACTTACTGGGTAAGGGCCTCGTCAGAATTTACAGTAAACACAAATAATATTGTCTGAACAAAGGGTCTTGATTATCTTAGATTCCAGAGCCTGAAGCTTATTTGGTAACACACTGGGGGAAGGATCCTTTCTCAGGCATGGCTTACTCATACATTCCTATTGGCAGCAGTGGAGAGGAGTATGATCATATGGCTTCTGAGGTTGATAACAAGCTATATTTTGCAGGAGAGGTGTGTATGAAATTAACTGCCAAAGTCTTTTGCAAAATATATAAAGGCTGAAAGTTTCTAAAGAAACTGTTTGGGGCTGCGTCGGTGGGGGTAATGAAATAATTTGGATATATCAACAAAGTTGAAATGGTAAATTCGCCACCATAACGATTACAAAAAGCTGACGTTTCGAGCATTAGCCCTTCGTCTCAGCGAATGCAAAATAACTTTACTTTAAATTAATAGATTAATACTGTGCCCTTCACAAACTTTAATATGTGGAATAACCTCATAGAAACACCCTGTACTTTCAAATTAATATGAAGGGGTCAGGAAAACAAATCAAGAAACCCCTTTAAAAGATTTTGTGAATGAACAGAAGATTGGATACTGTTTTAAGTTAACATTTTTACTCGTAAACCCACACCTGTTCTAGGCAACAAATCGACAATTTCCACAGACAGTTACTGGAGCCTACTTGAGTGGAATCAGAGAAGCAGAAAAGATTATATCATATTTGGAAACTGGCACGTGACATCAGACAAAGAGGTATCACCAGTTCAACAATACATCGTTCTGTGTAGACTGAGCAGAAACAGACGCCCATGATAATGGAAGTAAATCTCTCATTATAGAAAATATTATTTGCAGATGATTAACTGCCTTAAAAGCTTCCCTTCTCCTCTTTTAAATCAAACTATTAACCTCTTCTCCTTTACCTTTCGTTACAAATTTGTAAGAGAACATGGCACTTAATCAAGACTTTCTCTGGCTGTTAATTGTTTCAGTAATTACCACCTGTTTGCCATATACATGTAGATATTGAAAGGAGGTAGTTGCAAATCAAGGACCTCACAGTGAAAGGGTTAATTTGTGTTGTTGAAGGAGAACTGTAATAACTATTATTATTGAGAAGATAAACTTTTGATTCAGAATTAAATGTGGTAGAATAAATTAGTTAATGACATGGCACTAATTTGTTCTGCTATTGGGGTACAAAAATGTACTTCTATGTTTTGTCCCATGTTATGGCAGTGCTTCTTTAATTGTTGACAAAGGCAATTGCAAATGCCTTCTTTGCAAGACATGTGATAAGTATAACAGACAGACAACATGTTTACATCCTTGATGCTTCCCAGTTGAGATCATACATACAATTCAGGTGGGCAACAAAATAAAATTGTGCATGTGCACGAGTGCACAGTTTAAACCTTACAGTGATCTGAATTGGCTGGCAAAAGGCTGTAAACAGGTTAGCCAAATAAATTGACTTGAACTGCATCAAGATATCAGTATATCCTCTTTGTTCAAGTTTCATCACATCATTCATTTGATAGACAATTTGTTTAGTTCAAGTTATTAGTTAATATTCATCACCCCCACCCCCTCACCCATCTAACCGAAAAATGAAAACAAACCCATCAAAATCCAAATTTGCTTTAATTGCACTTAAAAGTTTTTGAAGACTCAACATTGATTACATCAAACATTGATTGTGTAGTCAATGACTTTGTGAGATGTTTCATGGCTTTTATGCAGCTTTAACCCTTCAACTTCCACAAGTGATTAACCTGTAACTTCTCCCTATAATATCCATACATTATCCAGCAAACAGGTAATGAGAATACTCAGACTTATCAGGTAGAAGCTGTTACATTGATTGAACTCCAATTTCTCACAACCAATTTACAAGGAAATGTGTAGCTGCTAGAGGGGAGAATTAACAGTCAGATCTCAGGAGTTTAAGAGTTAATGAAAGTTATAAATGAGAATTTGACCTTATTTTGGATGTTATAGCAATTATCTTAAGTTTGCTAGTGGTATTATGACTAATATTATTTAATTGTATTAATGCATTATTTATGACAATGAATAAAAATATTCCTTCAAAATAACACTGCTGCCAATGTTTCTTCACTATTTTGACTTTGTGTCAAACTCTGTAAACAGTGAGCAGTGTAAAGATTTGCAGCATGTTTTTGTGTTCAGAAGAAGTATCCAATCGGGTCTGAAGTCACATTAACAGAAACCTAGTGATACTAGCCCTCATGATTGTTTTTATCAGAAAAGTTTGTTTCACCCTCAAGTCTTGCTGTTAAGATGCAGAATGAGATTTTTTAATGAACAAAGACTCTTACAACACCCAGATCAAATGTTCCCACATGACAAAACACCAAAAAAAAAAAGTGGTGGAAAATACTCAAGGGGGTGCATGTAAAGTATGATTAAGGACCATTACTTTGTATTTTGGCTACTGGTCTTTTACCTGGGTTTAATTTTGCAAGAACCAAACTTTTTTTGCTGCTGTTCACAAGGAGGTGAGAGAAACCTTAAGTGGACAATGATGGCAACTAGGACATGGCAAAACAATAGATCTAAAATGCAGAAAAATAGCTCAGCCATGTATTTTAAAACTGCACATTTCTTAGCCGTTCTCTATGAAACAACATTGTGAAATAATCAAAATTTGCATGGTGAGAGAATGGGAACCCCAACGGCAAATTATTAAAGTTTCCATGTGGAACTCAAAATTGCGTTCTAACATTATTCAAAAGTTGAGGTGTGAACCTTTATAGAGGAAAAACCCATCCAGAAATTCTAACAAAAGATATGAATTCCTTTTCTTCCGATCAATGACTTCCTCTGTGTCGCTCTCCTGACTGCCTGACGTCCCTAATATTAAAAGAAGGACTGACAGAAACCTTTCCAGCAATGTGCATTAAACTGAACATGTTCTTTTCTGCTTAAGTTCCCAAACTACTTGACTTGTTGTTCTTGGGATTCTTTGACAGGTGTGAGGAGATTAACTGTGGAGGATATTTCCTGGTTAAAGAAAAGCAATAATTTATCATCAGCAAACTTAACTTCAGAATAATTTTTAGAAACCAGCATCAATTCCCCTCAAGTAATCATTTGATGGAAACCAATCATCATTTAGATAAAGTGTTCCTAAATGAAGTTATTGGACTGGACTTGCAAATTGCTCTTATCTATCCAGAACCTAGTTATTCAAAGGGCAGAAAATACCATCCAACAGGCCCATATAGTTTGAATGGTGAACAGTTCTTTCCATATCTGGTGGATAGCACAGTAGGTTTTAATGACACTTACCCACAGGGAAGCAATTAAATGGATAGCATCACAAGTGTGAAGGAAACACACCGTGCTTTCTACCTAACAGAAATTATCCAATGGATAGTAAATGATTCACCCTTTTGAACATCCAGGGCAAAGAATTGTTGAAGTTGAAGTTGAAGTTCATTTATTTGTTTAAGCAGGTTGATTAATTTGGCAGCTGTACTAGCTGATGTGGACCTGCTGTCCTAACCCACCCATCCCACCCCAGAAGAGGACATCCATCACAGAGTAATCTCGTGTGTGGGAAATTAACGTCTCCTGCCCCAACCCTGCAGGAGACGGGACCTCCATTTATTCGTCTCTATCCGAGAAGACTAGAATATCTAACCGTTTCATGACGTTATAGAAAGGTAGCAAATTCTTCTCAATTATTTTAAGACCTTGAGTGTTGGTCCGGCCGGGGCTCGAACCCTCGACCTCCCGCACTACAGTCCAGCGCTCTATCCATTGAGCTAACCGGGAGGCGGTGATAACACTTTACCAGTGAACTGTCAGTGAAACCTGAGGAAATGATGGATAGAACTTAATCCCATCCAGGAGGGATAGCGGTACTCATAGAGATGAGAGTTGATTTCCTCTTCACAATATCAATAAACTTTTAACTAAAGCAAAAAGGTAACAAGAAATGAGTAAAATATCAACCAGGGGAAATAGTTTGATGTAATACCAAATTCTTAAAAGTGAAATTATAAGAAACATATAGCAGACAGTATAGAAAATTGATATCTTAATCATAAGAGTAAATGGATACCTCTCTGTATTTGGCAATCACCAGGTCTTTAATCTCTTGAGGTCTTAGAGGACCAAACAATTTTCTTTGTCTGATAACATAAACCTGGAAAGCAATTAAAATATTCTAATAATGATTTTACCATTGTATAGAGCTATTATCCAACTGCACCAAGTAGAGTACAAATATTGTGCAAATCAAGAAGAAATAATCTTGTGTTTTTTTTAAATTTCTATTTTGACTTGCCCTGCAGGTTTGTCAAAATATGGTACAACTCATTACAAAACTTAGCGATACTACACACGAAAATGTAAAATAAGAAATTTAATAGTTAGTTCTTATTAACGTGTGGGAGGTCTGTATGGGAGAATCTTGACCGAGGTCTGTACAAGCGACCGAGGTCAAGATTCTCCCATACAGACCGCCCTAGCTCGGTTAATAAGATGTTTATTATATGGCTGTGTCTAGAAAGCAATGGAACATTATATTCTTTGCAACTTTTTTTTCTAGACCGGTCTAGATGCCAGTCTAGATGGGAAAATCTAGACTGCTTTCAATATTGATTTCAGCCAATCAAATTCGTAAATTCGGTAGTTCCCAGTCCTTGTGAGACACAGCCATATAATAATTGTGAATAATGGTTAACCCCTTAACTCCCAGAAGTGATTAACATGTAACTTCTCCAAATAATATCCATACAAAATTCATTATCCAGCAAACAGGTAATGAGAATTCTCCAACTAATCAGGTACATGTAGAACTTGTTATTTTGATCTCACACTAAATTCCTGTAACTACTTTACAAGCAAATGTTTAGCAGCTAGAAAGGAGAATTAACAATCAGATCTTGGGAGTTTATTGGTTAAAATCAAGTCTGTGCTGACATGTTGTTAAGTTACGTCACTCACCTGCTCATATGAGTTCATGTACATTTCTCCAATTGGTGCTGCTCTGATTTTAACTTCTAGCACAAACAGAGGGGAATTTTCTAACCTTGTGAGTATGAACCTTATTTGGCAAGAAATAAGTAAATTAGTAGGGTTAAAATGACTGCGACTTTTAGGATTGATAGTTTACCTGGATACCTCATTCCTTAAGCATGATGCCATTCAGCTTGGCTAAACTTCAAGGCAGCAAATCCCAAGCTCATTTATTGAGATCTGAACTTTACACTCTCCCTCATAAGATTGCAAAGTCAATTCTTCTCTTTGTCAAATTTTAGCTCAGAGAATATCATGCTTTATCAAACAAAGTCTGCTTGTTCATAATGTTCTTTCTTCTCTCCACCTTTCTGCTGAACAATGTATCAATATTGCTGGGAGAATTTACTCACTGATCGCTCTGATTCCTTGAGTGATACCTCTCACCATTGGGATGAAAAAGGACCCTGCTGCAATAGCAACAATTTCTAAGTTTCGTGCCCAAAATAATTGTGGAAAAGTATATTACAACTGTACCTGCAAAGACTTGGAGACACTGTTGGTCTCATGTTTCTGACCTCTTTGTCAAATTCCAATCTGAAAAGGTCCTCCTGAGCTCTGTTAACAGGACATCCCAAAATTTTGCCTGGTTGAATGAAAAGATAAAGTCATCAATTGTCAGCCAAGTACTCCATCCAACTAGAGTTTACCACAGTTTCTGTAAGATGAAGAGACTAAAAACTACTGGCACTCCCCTGGATGGGACACTTGTCCAATGTAAATTATCCCCCCCTCACATTTGGTCAGGTTTCCCTAACAGTTTGCTGGTCCCCATTCATTCTACTGGGTGGGGGATGCACTGTATTTGTTAATAATAATAAATAATAACAATGGGATTTAGTAGTGGACATCCACTAGGTAGCTCTTTTTTTCCACTGCTTTCAGGTTGCATTAGAAGTAAGAATGTTGTCTTTTGTGGAGGTAGGAAAACCAAAGGACTCAGAGAAAGACTCTCAGAGAAAGATGGAAATCCAACAAAAGATTCAACCCTCATGTGACACCAGGTCTGGGAATCAAACCCAGGACACAGTGATGACTGAGAGGCAAGGTGAGCTCTCTCACCACTAGGCCATCACTGTTCCCCAGAGAACACATCCTCCCACAGAGATCTTTCACAGGAACACATTAGACAATGTGACAGCAAGGCCATTAAAACAGATTTCTCAACCTGGAGTACAGTGCAACAAGGCCACTCTGTCTACCTGGTGATAGTTGATCACAAACTAATCTTGTATGCACTATCTGAGAAAGTTCAAGAAGATTGTTGAGAGGAATTTCAAGTAGACCTACTCTAACATCACTGCCAGACACTTACCAGAGACAGGATCAACTCCAAACACCAATACACCTCCCTTTGTGTTCAGCAGTGCATTAACATGTTTTGTGATTATCTAGAAAGAAGACAAGCTCCATCACTGTTATGTCTTGTAATGAGATGTCCTCAGAACAAAAGCATATTACTATAACCTGTCTGCACCTGCTCTGATACAGAGTGGTATGAACTGTTTCCAATAAACATATCAGGGTGAAGGGGAACAAGAAAGCCAGAAAGACCAGGGAGAGGGGTCATAGATCAGGGTGGAGGGGGACAGGAAAGCCACAAGGAGCAGGGAGAGGGGTCATAGGAAAATAAGGGTTGAAAGGGTACAGAAGAAAGGCATGGAAAGAGCAGGAATCTAGAACTTTAGAAGGGCAGGAAGTTTGAAAAAAATTGACAAAATTTAATTTTCAGTAATCATTAATCAGCAGAAGTTGTGGTTAGAATTATAAGTACAGGAGGCACAGGGGTGGTGTAAGGGAAGCAAGAGATTTTCACCTGCTTTTCTGTCCTGCCTACCCCACCTCCCTACATCAGATGGCCACAGGGTCAACAAGGCCTTGACATCTGAGGAATGACCTTTCTCCTTTATATTACTCAACCTACCTCATGAAAGTTCCCAGAGGGGTATCCCATTTTTGGAAAGAAAAAATAGACTCTTCCATCTTCATTGCTGGGGTATTTTCCACCTTTCTGCATCTTTTGAACTGGAGAAGAAAATTAAAGAAAAAAAAAAACATAAAGCAAGACAGGGCTCGACACTAACGGTAAGCCAACTAGCCAAGACTAAGTAGAAATTCAGTTTTGGCTGGTGGTTTTTCGATTTCCATTAGCCAGTTTGGCGAGTAAACTAACTGAAATTGTTGAAACATCAAAGTTGTCACCAGCCACTTGGCTAGTAATTTGAAAAGTTAGTGTCGAGCCCTGCGAGACATTGGTACTATTTTAAAATGAGGCCAAAACATCTCCCGATCAGTGTGTTTAAATCCACGTCCTCAAATCAATGGATTTCAACTAATATGAATCGATCAAGCTTACTGATTTATCGATCGATGTCGATCAACTCTTTGACCTCTAAAACTGACCAACATCTTTTTTCATCCTACAACGTCACACTGAATAAAATATTAAGGTCACGAGAATAAAGGAAGTGATCTCTTATTAAAGCTTTCGATTGTTAATTAAATTCTCCTTGTTAACATCTTAGGAAATATACAGATAACAGTATGTAGAATATGCACTCTGATGGGAGTAATCATTCAATAGCCACGTACAGTACCGTTTGTGTTTCTGCATTTTAATTTACCTGCAATTTACCGTTGTTGGTGATCTCCTTGCGACCGGATTCTGCACTAATCGGCACCGAATCTTTCTACCATGTACAATTTTCAAGTTTCAATTCAACTTGATACCTTACTTATTTACATCTCATTTAATCACAATGCATCCTTTTGTTTTCTGCCTCGTTCTTCAAAGCATGCCGACAAGGTGGACCTCAATGGCCCTGTATTCTGTAGTTGCTCCATTTTGTTTTGCGGGTACACCTCAACCGTGATCTTTTTTTTTTTAATCTTGAATTAAATGAGTTTAAATCCAAGACTTGATTTGCTCTAAATGTACGAAAGTATCCTCATTTCCTCACCTGTTTTAAGAATGAGCTGCAACTCCGCAGGCTGATTGCAAAGGAGGTCAGATCAAATGATGGCGGGAAAGGTTCGAATCCAGCCTCGTTTTCAGGGCATACTAGTTCCCAGGAAAGCCCGTCTTTTAGGTTGAGCGTCGAGAATGATGGGTAAAATATTTTTCAAAGAAGTGGCTTTTAATCTCAGGAAATAACTTTTATTTGAAAAAGCCACTATTTTTCGTTTTAAATTTATTTTTTGTGTTGATATAATTTGTTTTGCAAAGGCGTACTTTCTTTGCGCAGCAAAAATAGTTCTGATCATGGCTTGGGCGAACGGAAGATGACGATCAATTGAATCGCAATTAGTACATATATTATATCCCTTCCATTTAAAAAAATAGTGAGGGAGGAGGAGGACGGGACGCTTATTCAAAAGGGGCGCTCCTTCAGCATTTTGGCCCAGGGGGTGGACGGATACTCAGGGGGAGGGGGCTCATTATGTCGTGGGCGTTAAGTGGGGGAAATACCTAGTCTCCCTCGCAGCGGTTTAGAAGCGTTGCGTTACGAGCCTAAAAACGGCTGCGAGGGAGACTAGGAAATACCAGGCCTGATAAAATAAGGTAATTAACCAATAATTAGTGTATCAATTTCCTTAACAGGATCATAAAAGCTATATAGGTATTATTTGAAATGTGAGTTTATTTGATGTGAATAATTTAGGAAAGTCTCATCCCAATTTTTAGGATGACATTTCATACAGTGTGCAGAGTAAAAGATGAATGATGATAATTCAAATTTGCCTAACTAATTCCCGGTCAACTTTTTTCTTTATTGATGTTTGCCTTTAGCTATTTTTTTTTTATTATAGCCATTGCTGCTACTTGAAAACAATTCAATCGATTCTCGGGGAAGTATGGTAAAAGCATTCGCTCTATCGAAGCGCTAACGCCTAGAACGTCGTCTTTAAGAAACTCTTTACGATGACCAATTTTCATTATCATCTCAGTTGAGAAAACCAAATAATCACGCAAAAATGTGTCGAAAACACGAATGAGAGTAGTTACGCTCTCATTTAAAGTAAAAGCATGTGGAAATGGGTTTAAAATTTTGCTTTTATTGAGGTAAATGTATTTCATTTGTCACTGCCATTAATAGACTTTTTTTCATTTTCATTTTTCATTTCCTGAATTCGCGGTCTGGAAAAAATCCAAAATTGTGACATTCATCATTTAGCTCACTTTTCCAAAGCTGTATTTGCAGTGGCTGTAAATTTCATCATCGAATCCCACACTTTAAAGTTGCACAGTTCAAACACAACTGGAATAAATTACGAAATTCTGCTTACCAGCTGCACGAACAAAATTAGAGCTCATTACTAACAAAGAAACTGACAAACACTGATGTTTGTCTGGTACATCGTTGTTATTTTGTCACTATGTAATCAGCCGTTCTTCTAATAACAGTCATCCTCAATCAAAAGCTAGGGCAGTAGGGTGGCTAAATTTATATGAAAGTTTATTCAAGTGAAGTCACAAAGTCTTTGAAAAAGCTAAATTTTGTATTTATTCATTTTATTATTTTAGAGGGGGTAAGTTTCTGAAGAAACTGTGGCCATGCGTCAGTGGGGGGGAGGGGTGCGGGTGTAACAAGATAATTTGGTTGTATCACCCAGCTGAGCTGGTGATGCAAATTTGCTACTGTATATACTGACATGTAGCTTTCAAAACTCTTTGCTCTTAAGTTACTATATCAACTTTGTTGATTACACTTAATTATCTAAATTTTTTTTCAGGTTATCAGTTGCTAAAGAGTTAGTTCCTAGTTCATGAAAACTGCCTCGGACTGACTCTTGATTCAAGACACCGAAGTGTTAAAGGTAACTACCGTCTTGATAAATAACTCATGTCCAACGTCGAATCTATTGGCTGTTAATACTAACAAGAGAGTGATAATGAATAGTGGTGCGTTAATTATTTGTTACACAGCAAAATATGTAAAAGAGGTTATAAGATCTTAAGACCAACAGGTGAGAGTCGGAGAGCGCACTTGTCAAAAACGCTCCGGCGGTTGAAGTCAAATTTTAAGTAGTCTCCCCTTTTCTATTTTGTTTAAAATCTTGGCTGTTATGTTGTTCTAATTTACTGGGTCTCACTGAATTCCGTGCTATTTTATTAACACCGGGTTCAGTACGATTGGTTTACCACATGGGGGCTTTGTAATAGGTATTCATCAGGGATCAAGGACATTCTCATCAAACCGTTTCATTAGCTCTTAACCCATAGATAACATTTCGTCGAATTTATGCAACGTATGTCAAAAGATATTAAAGTGAGTTACAAATTTCGACATCAGTTTCTTATTGCCAGAAACGTTTTCTGAAGGTCTCGATGTTTCAACCGTCAACCGTCAAATAGGCAAAATTTTGACGGTCAACAGTCAAAAATGCAAGATATATATATTTACGATAACAGAAAGTAATCTCTCGATAGCCAACAGATCTCTCAGATATTTTGTAGAACTGAAAAGTATCAAATTTTCCTCATGTAAGGGAAAAATCGGCTTCAATATTTAGGTCATTAATTTTGCTTATTAACACCTGTAGTACAGAACTGACTTCCCTTTGAAAACATGAATGTCACGCGTATTTTAGAAAGATCGAATACCATTTCACTTCAACGAGTCACATAGAATATATGGCCATTTTTTTTAAGATAAAAATGTTTTTTCAGCTTTAGAATTAAAAATCTGACCACGGTGAGCTGAAAACTTGTGTTTATGAAGAAGAGTTATCAAAATACTTCAACGCATTTGGTCATTATTTATTGCCTGGTAGGGCGGTCGGGCTGATTTTCTATCACGATTTACCTGATCCCTGCATAAGGCTCCATAATAATGTTCTCAAGACTCGCCCCTCCCCTCCCCTATTGGTAATTAATTGGCAGTCAATTTTTTACAGTCCCTCCTGTTGGCGACCATAGATTCTCATTCCGTTCCCCCAGAAAATTAAGTGACCCCAAAAAAATCTTCTTCCCATTAGGCTTTACATAACTAGGGTCTGTACAGAGGGTTACACTTATCCAGGAGGACTTAAGTCTGTGCTAGCGAAAATTTTGTGTAAGTTTTGCTACATTTTATCTCGTATCTTACAGCAAGGAAATGGGTCGGCAAGGTAATCTTATCTTGCTATTGATGAGCCTATCAAGCATGTTGGTCTGCGGTCTAGGTCGTCACGTGGTACAAGACGAGTCTGAGGAGACCTCCGGTATGGCCAGCGAGTACGTCATCATCTTTGATGCAGGCTCCACCAAAACAAAGCTTGAGATCTACAAGATTGACGTTGCCTCGCCCCCGTTGGACGTAGCAGACGTGCACGAACTGGATCCTTCTCCCAGCGAAAAAAAGCCCGGCATCGCCGACTTGGACCCGTCGGAAGTTGAATCATATTTGCAGCCACTACTGGACTCGGCAATAAAGACAATACCGGCGGAAAAACACTCCAGCACACACCTATTCTTCCTTGCCACAGGAGGAATGAGACTGCTGGATGAAGATAAATCTGAAGCGATCTTAGACCAAGTGAAGGAACTCTTAAACGATAAAGCTAAATGTCCATTTATGTTTGACTCCAAAGACGCCCAAGTAATCTCGGGGGCATTTGAAGGGATCTATGCCTGGATGTCCGTTAATTTTTTGGAAGGGAATTTTATCCCAGGGAAGTCCCACCATACCTACGGGATACTGGATTTGGGTGGGGCTTCCCATCAAAATGCTGTCCAATTTGGGCGAAAGAGGGAGGATTTGTATTTAATCAATGTGGGTGGTAAAGAATTTAAGCTTTTTGCTAGAAGTTATTTAGGATATGGGTTGAATGAAGCTCGCAAAACATACCTGGAACGTCTGTCAAAGAAACCTTTAAAAAATGGTGTTATTAGAAGCCCGTGTCACCATAAAGGTTTCAACGAAAAAATTGATATCAATGGTGAATTGTTCACTGTCGTTGGAACTGCACATGTACCAATCTGTCGAAGGTTTATTGAAAAGACGTTTTTCTGTAAGAGGAGTGATTGCCCGTTTAGTGATCAACCCAAATTACGCGGGGATTATTTTGGTTTTGCTGGGATTTATTACGCTGCCACCACCATTGGAATATTATGTTCCGATTGCGCTAAGCCCCTCTCACCAGTCATGTTTGATGAGGGATCGAGAGAGTTTTGCGCTAAAAGTTTCGAGAGCATCAACAGCAACCCGTATGCCAAAGATCATTGCTTCGGAGGGAATTTCGTTTTTGAGCTTCTCACCCAAGGTTACTGGTTGTCTGCTCACAAGACCATCATGGTTGGTAACACATTGGAAGGTTTTAGTTTGGGCTGGACCCTTGGCGCGGCTCTGTTCAATTCAGAATTGTTGTGAAAAACAAATGTAAAGGGAGAATTTCCTAGCAAATTAATGGCATACACGAGTTAAATCGGGGAAAAATCAGAAGTAGATTAGAAGAAAGATAAGTGTTTAGAATGAAGGGATTTAAGGGTAATTATCATACAATCTTATAGGATGTCATGAATTCTTTTCAAGATACAATAAAGAACCCAAAATAATTCTGCGTGATTGTGGTTTTCGTGAATGAAATAGACGTGAACTTAATGGAAAAGATATTTTCTGAAACGCGCAAGTAAATCAGGAGGATGAGAGGATGAGAGGAAATTACAAATCACTTAACATTTAATGTCAAATAGAGTGAAAACTCTTGCGCAACCTTCTCAACCAGTAATACATAAAGCTTTATGCAGATGTAGATGTAGCCGTCACACACATTTTTCTGCGCGTCGATCACCCAGGAGTTAACAAATGGTAAACAACACAGCGTACACTAGTGAGTTATGGATGCACGCGGGAGGTTGCTAAGCACGAAAGAAGCGTGAGAGTCGCGCGAGAAGATATCCGAGAGCGACTCTAGCTTTTTGAGTGCTTAACAAACCTGCCAAATGCATCCATAAGTCAGTAGTGTACACTGTGGCGTTTACCATTTGTTTTAAATAGCATAACATTGTAGCAAGAGTTTTCTTTAATTTAACAAATCTTACGTGACCAGATAAAAAAGCGCGCGCGGAAAACTACTAGTCTTTGCATTTTCTCACGTCAGCAACGTACCGGGCCCTGAGCAAATGGTGGACGCTGAATTGACCAATCAGCGCGCCCGCTTTACTTTCGTTATGTTATAATTTTCATGATTAAAAACTGGATCATTGGATAATGCAATTCAAGACTTTTTATTGGCTTAGCCATTATGGTATACGAGCCAATATACCATGATCTACAAATATGGTAAGCGTACGCGTTAGCTTAAAATCAAAAGGGAGGTAAAAAATCCGGTTTCTTCTTAGAAAATAATAATTTCTTGGGGGCGTTTTTAATAAAACAATTATTCCACTCGCGCTTATTGGATATGAGACGATTATAGCCAACTCGGCGCTACGCGCCTCGTTGGCTATCTATCATCTCATATCCAACGCGCGCTTGTAAAATAATCGCTAATTAGCTTCCACAGAAATCTTACTGTGTATTGATTGGTAGTCAAGATCAGGTCATGTGCAACTTAAAGTTTTACGGTGTTGTTCAAAAGCACAGCATTAATTAATCTACGTACTAGTGGTACACATTCTCTTTTTATCCCTCGTGTCAATACTACAACATATGGCCTGCACTCTTTATGTTACTATGGTAGCAAACTATGGAACTTCCTCCCCAACACGACCGGGTCACTGCCAACAGTTGGAGCTTTAAAATCGGCTATTCGTTATTTCGAATTTGATACTGACTGCTGTCCATTCTGTAAATAGTTGTATATGTTTATCCTATTGTATCAATTACTTAATTGTATATACGTGTCTTATGTATTTATCTTGTTCTCCATAGTTATTTCATTTTATCTGTTTATTTTTTTTTCTCGGAGATATTAGCATGTTTTTCTTTTTTTTTTTGCTATTTTAAATTCGAGATGAAATAAAGGCTTGTTGTTGTTGTTGGTCTTGTTCTGAATCTCCGACGAACCTTACCGAAAATAGCCGAAGAAAGCTGGGGCTCGTTACGTCACCGAACTTCACTTTAAGGTTTATCGTCATTTTTACCGTCACAGAAAAGCGCAGTTTGGTTGGAAGACAAACACCGAAGACGTGAGTACAAAAAAGAAAGAAACGGGGACGAGGGAGGAGCGAGAAGATTTTAAAAACCCTTTAAACACTGGGAGAGAATAGCATCTAATTTCTCCTTACAATATCACCACTGAATCAAACATTAAGGAAATGAGAATATAGGAAATAATCACCAAATTGTAAACACCCTTGGAAATGTCTAGAAAACAGTATGGAGAATAAGCATACTGATGTCAGGGTTTACAAAGTATTGAAATAGAGGCCCTTGAGATATTTGTGTTACTTTATCTGCATGAACAACTAGCGGCCGATATGTTACTGCTTCTTCCAAACTGTTTCTGATAAAAGCTCGGGGAGCAAATATCTTGCCATCTATGAAAGCAAACAATTGCAATAGACTGCTAATCGAGGGAATTAAGTGATGTTTATTTGATTGCTGCGTTAATTCACAGGCATAATTCAGTGATTCAGAGTTTGTTGAAAGCCACTACATCCACACTTTGGACCTGCAAGGTACAAAAAAATTTATGAAAATTTTAACAGACGAGTGAAATCGGGGACGAATTTTTGACGGGTGTGGTGGAAAATTTGACTTTGGGAGAGGGGGTAGGGTGTGGTGTGGACTCCTTGACTATCTCAATTCTTCCTGAAACTTGAGATTTCTCTTTCCTCTGAAAATGATTGATAACATTGGCTACCTATCCCTAGGTAATCATTAAAATAATAAAAACACTGCTGCAACTAATAATGATGAAAATGATGATAATAAACGATTATGGATATATGAATATCATATATTTGAACTGCAAATTAATTGATGAAGATGAGTGATTATCACCGTAAAGAACAATACTTAAGCACGTATGATGCACGATCCTCGCAGTAGATAGCGCTATTTGTGCAATAGCGAAAATCAGACCTGAAAAAAATCAGGCCTGTACGGGATTCGAACCACTGACCTCTGCGATACTAGTGCAGCGCTCTACCAATTGAGCTAACAAGCCAACTGGGAGCAGGCCATTAAGTTGATTCGTAATAAACCCGTGATGATAAATCAGATACAATGAATATATGAAGTTCATATATTTTGAACTGCGGTATTAAATACGTATGATGCACGATCCTTCGCAGTAGATAGCGCTATTTATGCAATAGCGAAAATCAGACCTGAAAAAAATCAGGCCTGTACGGGATTCGAACCACTGACCTCTGCGATACTAGTGCAGCGCTCTACCAATTGAGCTAACAAGCCAACTGGGAGCAGGCCATTAAGTTGATTCGTAATAAACCCGTGATGATAAATCAGATACAATGAATATATGAAGTTCATATATTTTGAACTGCGGTTGACTGACTGGCTGACTTGCAAGCTACAATAATTTTTCACCGCTACAGGTAATCGTGGCTAAATGACTTGAATTTGAAGCATGATTGATATTTGGCAATTTAACGAGTCAAAGCTAAGAAATGGCAGAGAAAAAGAGCTGCCATCTCAATTTCACACACAAACATAAATGTTCTTGGGAAACATGACCCCACAACCAAACAGAAGCTTCATTTAGTGGTACCTTTGATCTCATGTTAGAAACTGCCAGGGAATGTAACTTAAGATAATAGAACTACCACAAGGAAAGGGGGTGCAAAACTACTGGCCTAGGAGATTTTACCAATTAGAAAGATCTTATTGGTTATAAGACCCTCACACACACACATGGAAAAATGTAGAACACAATCTGCATCTGAACTAATTAGTATTGGACTAGTCAAATAATTAATTCAACATTATTTGGCTGACTTATGCAAGCAAGTAATAGGTTATCTAAAAACAAACCTGTTTCATCATCCCACTGTGACAGAACAATTTTTCAAGCATATGAAAAAAAGGAAGGAATGTATGAAAGTTAAAATGCAAAACACTAACAATAATAATGATGGTGATAGATAGTGATGACAGTTGCAGCAATAGTAATAATAAGAATAGTGACAATGATAATGAAAATGAAAAATGAGAATGGGTGAAAAATGAGAATGAGAATAACAATCACATAATATACTTCTTCATTAACAGAGCTTTTAAGGGCCTAAGTGAATAAATAGTGAACAAAATATTCACATTAAACATAACTTAGCTAAACATACACACTAGCAAGGGGAAGACCAATTGGCTACTTTTATACCCTAGCTATGGACTTCAACTTGGTACAACTAAGAACTTAAAAATGTTGGCTCAGCTTTGTCCAAACCTTGTCAATTTGTATAACAAAGGACTTACTTTAAAGAGCTTAACACTTCTTATTTTGAGTGACTTAAGACTATTTGGGGCTGATAGGAACTGCACACACACATGAATAACTCTTAATTTCAAAAAATGAAAATAATTTTCAACAACAATATATAATAGGTTTATTCAATATCATCAGTTCTGGCAATACAAGTATAATTTGAAAAATGACTGATTTACAAGCATACTAAATAATAGTAGATAATAAAATATGCAAACATGTATTACAATGTGACATAAACATAATTATATGTAAAACTAAACAAATATTTACACTGTAAAACTAAAAAAATATTTCAAAAAAAACTAAAAAATGTAAAACTATATAAATATTTACAATGACCTTCCCCGTTAAAACTTTATAACATGCAGGTATCATCATACCGGTTTTATATCCAGAATGATATTTGATTTTGCTACTAGTGCTGGTTCTAAAATAAAAATGCAAAAGAAAGCTGTTAGCCAAAGACACGAATAAGGATTTCTGCACATTATATACATACATAGTTATATACTTTATTGAGAAGCCCTTCCACAGGGCTTCTCAGTCATGACGTTAACTACTATAATAATACGGGTAATTAACAAAACTTGTTGACAGTAATGTAGATAAATTCAAAATATATTTGAAGTTTCTCAAAATATACTCAAACTTATTTCATATGAAACATTATTGAAAAGTGGTGCTTAAAACTATTAATTTCTCTTTATACGTGTCTGTAATATTTTCAGCTAGCCCATTCCATTCCTTACACCCTGAAAGTAAAATGCCCTTTGTCCCATCGACAATCTACATCAGGTAACCACATCTGGGAGATGACATTTCCAAACGCCCCTCTTTCTAGAGATATTGGAATGACCAGGCCAAGGCTGTGCTCTAAGAAAAATTGAAGGGAGCCCAGTGTTCTGAAACTGTGAAATCCAGAGTGTCCAGCATATGCTTTTTATGAAAACACTAAGATTCCCTACACGAGAACAAAAGTAGGGTTCCAGGGGTCATCGGGCGGCTGCTAGATCACAGCCCTGCCAGGCACGCTGTTAGTATGATATATTGTCAGTGGTGATTAGTGCTTCCAATCCCAGATTCAGAGATAGACCTTCGACTCCAAGCCAGGTCATTCTGTC